AGCCTTCATCTTACCATACTAAACAACACAGGGGAAACAAATATCAGTTATATTTCAAGCACATGAACATGTTGACCTATACGAGTGTACACATGCTGTAACATAATTGCTCGATGGATAATTACACAAATACTTGCGGTGGATGTCATGTGAGAAAGACATGCAAGACATGTTTACTTACATGTACAATGAGGCTTTGATGGTCCTCTCTAACTACATCTTCAATTTCTTTCATGTTAGAGAGAGCAGCATCCGTGTCACTACTGAGAGAAGTCTGTGGGATAAAATACACGTAAACGTCATTAAAATACAAACAAAGAAAATGTGCATTAAAATATTTTTTCCACATATGAACAAACAAAATCTTTTAACATAATTTTGCCCAGTTTGTGCCCAGGTGGGTGTCCTCAAACATATGCAACAACAGTGTACTTCATACATTTTTAAAACTTTACACCACAGAGCTTGTTGTATCACTATGTGTCGTGTCTCACCATGGTGACCCTGGTGTCCTGCATCCACTGAATCAGGCTCTGGAGAGAGCTTCCGTCCAGCTCCAACTCACTAATCCTGCTCAGAGCCTCCATATAAAGATCTCGGTACATTGAGGTCTGTATAGAATAGGAAAAAGTAAAACTTGAAACAAAATGTAGAACTACAAGAAACCAAATGCATCATTATAGTGAAAGAATTAAATCCGCAAAAGCTGCACCAACTTTTAATTTTTCACATCTCCCAGTTGTCAGGATGCCTCTTTACCTGACTGAGTTCAGTGTGGTCTGTCTGCACCAGTTTCTCTCTGAGCTCTGAAGGTGCCGGACCTGCAGAGGGAGATCCCTGTGCTCGGGCTGCAGTCAACTGCTGCACCAGGGCCTCCACCATGATCATGCTAGACCGTAACCTCTGCTCTAGCTCTTGTCTAGGGATGCACTCAAGGCTCCCTGGTGGTACACTTTAACCACATCAATAGAAAGAGAGTGAGGCAGACAGAGAAACAAGCAGAAAAAAGATTTAGTCAAAGCATAATCAGAAATCACTGTTAACCTAAGGTTTGTTAAATAATTAATTAAAAGCCAACACTTACTTCCACAGGAGAGGGTCAGTAAGAGTGCAGGAATCAACCATAGAGAATTCCCTCTTTCTCTCAAACTGGCCAGATGTATTGATGCTGTGGTCCACTAGTTCCACAGCAGTGGTGCCCACACAAACACTATGGGATTCTGCAGGAGTAGTTCTTGCTGATGGGGCTGTGGCGGCAGCAGGAGGTAGAGCAGATGCAGGGACACCGGTGGGACACATCTTGCCAGATGCCAACATGAGGAACTCGGCCATCTGCCGGAGCTGCTGCTGAAGGGGACCATCAGCAATCAACGGAAAGTCCAGCACTGGCTTCTCTACTTCAGACTGAGGCATGGCACACTGCTTCGCACTCACACCCTTTTCCGGCTCAGTGACAAGGCCTGACTGGGTCTTGTAACCCAGTGCTGTAGAGTTAAACAGAGGATGTGGCATGGGGCTCTCCAAATGCTCTGCCCATAATCCGGAGCGGTCACCAATAACAGGAGCGATAAGGCTCTTTTCACCATCGACAACGGAGTCGTCAGCTAAAAAATGATCTAAAGCGGGATCAGTTTGAGCCATAAATGTAGAAATTCTCCTAACAACAGGACTGAGGATTCCAAACTGCAGAGCCGATGCTAATGAGGGACACTGTGACAGAGCTTTCAAAATGCCAGGGATATTCTCTGCATTAAGTTGTTCAGCAGGATTAGAAAGCGCATGTCCATGTCCAGATGAACCAAGGGCACTGTCTTTTGCCTCACTGGATTCAGGCGCTCCACTGCTTGAATGCACCTGAGAGACGTGCTCCAGATGCTGCTGCACTTCCACTGGAGTGGGACTCTCTGCTGAAGCCACAGATTTGTTGCAGTCAGAAGACTCTGTTTTGTGAAGCATTGAAGGCAACGCACTGTCTTCAGGATGTATTGATTGCTTGTCAGTTTCTTGGAATTGGCAGTTGGATTCATTATCCAACCGATTTAACGAGATGTTAATCAGCGAAGATGTTCGGAAAACTGGTGAGTGAGTATCTAAAACAACTTCATCATTTCCCTCATGACAGTTCAGTAGCTCATAGTCAGCTTGGATTTGATCCTGTGTAACAGAAGCGGGGACAGTGTTGTTATCCAGGGGCTGGCCGATCACAGCCTGATGATCAGGCAGAGAGAAAGTCTTCTCAGACAATGAGGTGCCATTTGATTCTTCCACCCTGTCTCCAACTTTGAAGAAAGAGCCAAAGGCAGCATCCTCTTCTCCCTTTCTCTCGCTTTCTGGTGCCACCAAGGTAATCTGTTTTACTTCATCAATTTCATTAGTGCTGCATGACAATGGTTCCTGGGCAGAGGAAAGGTTTCCACCTGAAGTGGATGAGTCACTTTCATCAAAACAGTATGGGTGATCTGAATGATCATTGCCGTTTTGCACATCATGTTCACTGGCTAAAACGCTTTGATTCAAGCTGTATGACAAAGAACTGGTCACAGTGTAGGCAGTTGATAGAGGAATAGTCTCATTTATAACGTTGGTACGATCTAAAATTTCTATCTCACCTCCGCTGCAGTTAAAAGATTTGAAGGTTACATCACTTAGTGTTGTTCCTTTAGACTCAAAGACAGTGGTGGTGACAGGAACCTCATTTAAACTGCTAGAGTCGGGATGATCTGCTTGACATGTCTCTGATTGTTGGCCACAGTCAGAGACATTAGTTGAATTAACACTGTTGTCTTGTGAAGATTCATCTAGCTGTGCCAAGGGCAGAGGTATCATCTCATCGTGTCGTATGTTGACATCTGCAACTTCCACCTCACCTCTATCACAGGCATCTCTCTCTCCACAGCAGTCTGTCTGAGAAACTACTGAATCGTGTGTGGCATGTTCATCCTCCAGGCTCCCAGAGGCCAGTGTAGTGCTGTAGATTCCACAGAGTGATGCTGCAGCTGCATCAGCATCACCTGAAGAAGCATCTATCATCTCCGGATTGTAGTAGGGATGCTCATTGTGGTCCCTGCTTGACTGCACAATCATACTGTCAGATAGGACTGTATCTTCTGTTTCAGTGATGGATGTAGCCTGGTCATAAGGCAAAACGATGCTTTGTTCTGCACACAGTGATGACCCTGAAATCTCTACCTCACCACCAGGACAGACGAAGGATTTAAACGTTACATCTCCGAGTCCACAAGCGGCGTCAGCAGTTGTCACATCACTAATGGGAGCACTAGTTTGGCTCACTTTGGTGGATGGAGAACATTCACAGAGGGGAACATCATCCTGTTAATTAAAATGGATAGAAAATGTAAGAGCAGGCTGCAAAAAACACTGAAAACAATGAGAGCTTTTTAAAATATTCATAAACGCACTTTTATCGTTTTCACTGCGTCAGCACTTGATTTCAGTCTTGATGATGGAGTTGACAGGTGCTGCATCTCGTTCTCTACACTTCTCAAAGGGGTACGCTCTCCATATTTAGTGGAAGGCTATAATTCAAAAATACAAGTTTAAATCAAATATCACCAGTTTACTGAGTAAAAATTTAAAACTGTATACTGTGCATGAGTGTGAGTGTCTTACCAAGCCTTCCCCTGTGGAACCTGACTTCCTGGAGGACATTTCTCTGTATCTGTACAACTGAAAAACACATTATACTATTAATCGTGCTGTTACAAAAATATTACAACATTAATTAGCTAGCACGGAAGCTAAGTGACATTAAGTGACATAAGACAAATAAGTGACCAAACCTGTCTTGGTTGTATGAAATAACACAGCGTCAAAAATGTCAACAAGGACGTAAGTTAGCATAACATTAGCTACGATAACAAACTTGTGTCAACGACTGTTGTTAGCTAAAGTTAGCTCGACTCAGTTAGCTAATTTACGAGCCTTTACACTTATCGAACTATTGTTTGTTAACTTGTGTAACCGAACATTACCTCTCAGGCGTCGACAGGAAGTTTTATCCAGCGTTATAAACGTGAACAGGAAAAAATAAAACTGCGTTGAACGACCGTCAACCGCGTCTCGTTCAAAACACAAATGTCAGCTCTCCTATTGGGCCGTTTCTCTTCTTTGGCTGTTCTGTGACGCGGCGGGTGGACACAGGCTGCACTGCAGCTTACCAACGCCCCCTACCGGACACTGATAATTAACTCAGTATTGATAGGCCTGAGGAAAAAAACAATACCGATATAATAAACGTCCAATAAATTTAAATATCGACTTAAACAAAACTTACCATCTTTAACAACATTGAGGCCGAGAGTCAATCAACAACAATACTGATTGTAGCTGTCACTGCTTTAAGTTTAGTTGCTTTATTGTATTTATTTTTTATCATCCATAAACGTTTGCTTTTTAATTCAAAACTTAGATTTATTGTATTCACTGTACTTTTGTGTTGTTGTGCCTTGGCACCATTAAATTCATTTTTGGCCACATCGTCCATGCTTATATGATGTGTATCCGCTTTGATGACTGCATGTGTTATTTTAAAATTGACACAACACGCTGGATTTTTTTCTTTGTTATGTTTTACCTGAACATAAAGATAATCATTTTAATCACTGCGCTTCCTTCAGCTTGGGCCCTGGGCGATCAGGGCTGTTACAGTCTGTTGCAGAATTTCTTGTTATTCACGTTAGTTCTGTTTGACTCTGGCAGTGCGTTTGTGGTCATTCTCTCATGCTGCAGAAATTATTTGGGACTGATCACATGTCTCTACGATGGTATTGTGCAACAGATACGATTCCATAACAAACATATAAAGAGCCTTAAAAAACTTGTTTCATATTCAAAACCCTTGTTGCTTTAAAAATCAGAACACATTTGAGTCTAGCTCCACCATGCATGTAACTAAAGATTATTTTACCTTATAAATTCATTACTCTTGGTATGTGCAGTTCTACCTGTAATGATTACAAGAAGGAAAAGACAGTCCAATCATCCATTCATGATCCGTTTATTTGTCACAAGGGGCAGACAAAGAAAATTATACATAAAATCCTTTAAATAATCGAATAATCTGCATATAAAAATGTTGAACCTATCACGAGATAGTCAATAGAAATATCTATTTATCAGCAGAGAAATAATCTTTGTTCCTCAACGGACATGAAAAGCGACTCTACCCAGCTCTAGCGTTTTCATTGGGTTTCTTTCTGGCACTCGACAGGTCGGACCTGCAGAACCTCAGCAAAGCTCTGACCAAACCAGCAGGTGATGTCGGCCGTGTCCAGGGTGAAGAAGAAGAGCCTGTCCCTGCAGCGTGTGCGCCTGTAGACTGACCTCGGGTCTGCTGACAGCACTCCTCTGATGGCGGCAGCTGCCTCCTCTGAACTGCGCAGAAACTTGAACCTGGGTCTGACACTTTCATTGGGTCCTGTGTGGCACATATATTTATCATGGGGTTTTTTTTTTCAATGATGAATGACTGCTTTCATATTTATCACTGTCACAACAGCAGCCTCTTGTGGACAGAAGAAAAACATTGCCCTTATCTCCAGGCAACAATAAACTTCATAGACTGACACATGAAGTTAGTTGTAACTGAATACATTTAGTTCATCACTGTACTTAAGTACATTTTTCACATATCTGTATTTGCTTAAGTAGATGCATCTTCAGGCAGTTTTCACTTTTACTCCACCACATATATCAGTAATTATCTGTACTTTCTAGTCCTCTACATTTTTTTAAAGCATTGTGCAACATGTTCACATCATTTTAACATATCTTTAAAAGTAATCAATTAAGAGAGGGGAATTGGTCACTTGCTCCAATCAGAGCCAGCAGGTAGCAATAGACCCGCCTCCTCAAGATTATTCTTGAATTGAACAGAATGTACAGAAGACACAGGTAAAGATGTAGTAGACCGCTACATGAAGGAACAGGCTACACTTGACAAGTACTTTTAATACTTTAGATATATTTCAAAGCAAGTTCTTCTTTACCTTTTGTTAATTTCTATCTATTTATTTGTACTTTTACTGAAGTAAAAAGTTTAAGTACTTCCTCCACCACTGTATACTATACATATACTATGTCTTACCTGACTCATGTGCAGGAAGGAATTCAGCGAGCTCCCTCTCAGCACGAGGAGTGAAGCGTACCTCCAGACTGGCAACAGGAGGTGCTCTGATCCAGCCAGCAATGGTGCTGTAGACTTCCTCTCCATAGCAGGGACGGTCCACTGTCGACTCTGAAGACTTGTTTACTGGAGACTCTGAAACTTGCTGCTCACTTTGGCAGAAACCATCTTGGCTCATATAGGCTTTGGCCTCCTCCAGCACACGGTGCAGAGAAAACTGAGCACTGACTGAAGCTGAAGCTATTGAAGGAACAACAGCTTCACAATTGTCCTCTGAGACTTGACTCTCCAAGTCACAATCAGTTCTTTCAGCTCTCAGGTCTGACTGAGGGTCTGTATCTGAGGTGTTTAAGATGTTTGACTCCTCCACACTGGAGGCGTCTGTGTTAACGTCATAAGGCTCCATGTGAGTCCTGGTCTGTGGGGAGTCGTACGCTGGAATGTAGGGTTTGATGTCCAGGACTGGGGTGCCTGCAATCATGTCGATGTCTGACAGATGTACTGTGTCACCTAGAAAATGAAAGGCAGGAATGCATGTGAGCAGAGTCACTTATTACCTTCAGCGAGGAGGTTACGTTTTTATTACTATTCAGCTGTAAGCAGGATTACACAAAAACTACAGAAGCGATTTTACTGAAACTTGCTGGAAGAATGAAATTTAATAAATTAATTATTCTCAAATATTTTAAAAACACCCTCTCCCGCAATGTTGAAGGAAAAAAGCGATTCCGTATCCACCCCCTGATCTGGATCCACACCAATTATGATCTAATTGGATCATGCCCCGCCCCTCCAGAGAGGTTCTTGTAAATCGGTATAATTGTTGGTGCATAATCTTTTTAAAACTCAAACGCAGATGAAAACATAAAGTCGTGGGGGCGGAGTCAAAAATACTCTGTACATCTGTGTTCCCCGGCATTTAGAGTTTAGTGTGAAAATGTCTAAACTTTCTGCCCAGATTGTACAAAAGACACAAACACATATTTAGCCACATAAGACTGAGCTGATGTTTCTCACCTACAACTTTATCGAGCTTTGCCAGAGTTAGACCCAAGGCGTTGGGTCGATGAGGACTGCGTGTGGAGTAAACACCAACTCTCTGACCGTTCAGTCTGGGAGGCTTGACTTTGGCTTTGTAGCTCAGGTGTCCATTTTTGTGAAAGAGAAAAATGATCCTGTAAACACAGAAAATACAGAGATTTCAACAAAATATACAAAAAATCGAATTGTTTACAGACGATGTCCGACTGAAATGAGTTCTGACAAACACAATGGGACAAATGTTCATAAATCTTCAGTGATGCATGACAAGAGTCTCATCCAGTCACACTCACTGCTGCAATCAGTGAATAATCAAACAAGTTGAATTTGAATGCCTTTAAAACAGTATCAGTCTCACACAGCTTCATGCGCCCACACACACGAGACACAGGGACAAAACCACACCAAACGTGCCACAACTCATAAATATCAGTCCCCTTAACATGCCTGATGTTTTTCAGCAAGATTCACACATTATTCCCAGGGACAATGGTGAAAATGTTCCATCTCACAATGCTAAATGAAATGATTAAACAAATCCTGGATCCGTCCCTTTGTCCAGCTCCCTGCCAAACTTGAATGGACAGTTTCTTGGCCCATGTTCCATCCTTCCAGCAGGTTTCATGGAAATCCATTTCACACTTTGTCCAGCTGACAAACCAACAGACTAACCAATAACTCCTATAAATGGATGGTTTTCTACACACTCCATTTGTAACTCACCCTGTTGATTATTATTTTAGAGATCACACTGGCCAGGAACATGAGACTGAAAAATACTGATTGATAATGTCTGATTATTACAGCCAATAATACCTTTAGCTATTTTGGGGGAAACAGCAAGACCACGTGGACTGAGCAGTGAAAGAGACAGACAGTAACTATAAAACCTGCAGGACACCAACTGTATGTGACTTACCAGACATGAGAGTACTGCTCCAGGCCGAGCAGAGCGTGCTCCGGGTTATTGAAAACACTCTGCTGGATGCGCAGCTCGGCCCTCGAGGGGCCACAGATGGTGGGCTGCCTGGGTGTCCCGTTCTTCACTGAGAAACAGGAACTGATGTAACCGATCGGGACCGTCTGGATATTTCCTGTATAGTTCCACAGGTGAGAATAGAGACGTGGAACATTAATAAAACAGCAGTAACACAAAGGCGCATGTGTTTCAGTTCCACTTTTTGTAATCTACCTTTGAGAGGTAGGTTATGTTTTCATATGCTGTATTTGTCAAGAAAAGATGTGGTTAGGACGTTTTTTTTCTCCCAGGGAATAATTCATGGATCTTGATGAAACAAGATCAGGCAGATTTAGGGGACTGATATTTATGTGAGTGTGAACAATGTGGTGCAGATCCAACAAAATTCCGAATCTAGTGAATTCAATTGTGGTTTCAGTGGGTGACTGTTTGGCCTTCGTTACTCTCTAGTTTACATATATTATTTCTGCATTTATTTGATTTTGTATATTTGAATATTTTCGCCAAAGAAGTGATTGATGGTATAAATATATATATATATATATACACACTTAACATACTTTATTTATAAGTGCCGAAATTCTTGGTCTTCTAATTGATAAGTTTACTCACTACAGGCGAGAGGAATTTTGGTTTTGGACAGTTTTTTATACATTTAAGTGAATCATCAAAGAATATATAAATAATAATGAGCTGCAGTTTGTAAATGAAATGATAAGTGTCAGTGCAGGAAGAGGCTGGCTCTGTATCATACCTTGTTCTAACGCAGCCTGTGGTGATGGTGATGTTGGTGGAGGTGGTGTCTGGTCTTTCTCTGCTTCTCTGACTCCAACCTTTGACACTGCAGACTGAATGGACGTCAGGTGTTTGCGATGGGCCCGAGCTGCGCCGTCCAACATCTGCCTGAAGGAAGAGAGACGGTGAATAAAAATCATCTCATGTTTTGTTATTTAAAGAGAAACAGTATTAGAGATGTTACAGTTCGTTTTGGTGCGAGCTGTACCTCAGGTTCTTCATTTCTTTCCTCATCACAGAAACCTGCTGCTGCAGTTTGTTGATGTTCTCACAGCAACAGTCACACACAGGAGCCATGTTTAATAATCCTAAACTACGATCACTCTTTTAAATACCAGCCAGCTTAGATCGAGCTGCTGCTCAACACACAAACACACACACACACAACATCCGTACTTCCAACACACGTGGGAGTTCCTCAATGCGGAAGTACACGTCTGATTTTAATTGTTGGCCAACCAGCAGCGTTTCACGTGACAAACGTGCGACTGAGAGCAGCAAAGTCTCTCACCTGATCTCATCCTGTGTTTTTAGCAGGTTAATGCAACACAAGTGTGCTGTTTCACAAAAGTCGCACATGTATGTTGCAGGAGTCATGTTACATGTGCAGTCGTTGCAGCACACTGCATGTTTCAGACCAGCAGATGGCAGCCGAGAGTCCCTTCAGTTACCTTTTTTTAAAGAAAACTTTATTTATAAAAACAGAACAAACAAACATGTGCAACAACATAGTCACGAGAGGGACGTGGTCATTTTTGTATCTGTTATATTGTTCCTGAGTGTTCTGATCAGGTTTTGCTCCACAACATATCACAATCCAACTTTGTTTTTTGAAATAAACGCAAAGCTTTGATAAACTTTACAGATTCGTGATTTAAACAGAATGTAAAATAATCTGACATTAATGCACTGCTGTCGATGAAACATGGTATAAAGTACTCACACCTTTACACATTGAAATGTTGCTCATGTGCTAACGCATCACAAATGCAAAAAGAACAATGAGTATTATCATATGCGATTACATTACACTGACACACTCCTGAATAATGAACAAATACATACATACATACACAATGTCACATTAGCAAAAAAAATCTACTTTTTTCTGACTGACCTGACCAGATAATTATTTACTGTTAGTGTGTTGACATTCATCATATCAAATCCTTAAGGTGGAATCCTCCTCCTTATAATCTGCTACTATTTCTAAACCTCCATGACCCACTTCAATAACAAACACAAGCTGAAGCTTTTGGATCATCCCTCACTAACCCCTGACCTGAACATCATTCAAATTCTCCACAACACCAGTCTTAATATTCCCAAACTTTGTGTGGTCTGCAGGAAAAGTGGCTGAAAAAAATTCTGCATGTAAAAAAATTTGTTAACAAGCTTTAATATTTGCAAAAGGGAGGCAAAGTGGCACAATCGCAGAAGAAGAATAAACAATTGAACATTGATAACATATTTGTCTTATTTACAGATAATGGTGACTACTGAATACTGTAAGCAGGGTCTTTTATTTGTTAAAAAAAAACTTTTACAAAATTAAATCAAATAAAACTGCAATTATCAAAGAATTACCAGTAATTCAGACAAGTTACTTTTAAATAAAAGTAAATACATTTTGCTGTTGACTTAATGCAAAGTACAAAATGCAATTATTGTACTTCGCATTGAAGCACAAACCAAGAATAAATAAGCATACAGGTTTGGTTTAAATTCATACTTTTTTTTTCAAACAAGCAATGCATACATTCAGCAGGCTGCACACGAACCAAAACAATACTCAGGTACACACTGACAAGAAGGGAAGTAATCTGGCTTTGCTTGTCCTGAACTGAGACAAAAGTATATTTTTACAAATTAGAATAATTTCCTGGGAGATATTCTGGTGGAGGTTGAGAGGACAAAGTTGGAATGGAGAACATTTTGTTTTGTTCAGGTAAGTTGATCGACGGTGGCTCAGTCAAATCTAAAGAAAAAAGATTGACAGACAGTGTTTGGTTAATATTCAGAGAAAAAGTAAAGTTGGAGACAGAAAGCATAAATTCTTAAACTGTTTGTTTCAAAGTATTGTTTGTGCTCATACCTTCATCAGCTCTTTTGTCTTGCAATGGGAAGATGTCTTCCTCGTCATCTGGGCCCAAGTCTTCAATCAGGACCTGGTCAAGGGCCTCTCTGTCTTTTGACTCTGTGTAGAGAGTCTCTACCTGGGGAGGAGCAGGAGCTGGAACAAGGACTTGGGACAGACCTGGGACTGGTCCAGCATCTGGAGCTGGATCTGGAGCTTGCAGATGGACCAAAGCTGCATCTACAAAACTGGTGGGAAGAGGAGCAGGAACTGAGAGAGAAAGAAGAGCTGGTCTCTGGTTAACTGGTGCTGGAGAAGTCAGAAGTGGAGCATAGAGAGAGGTGTGGACAGATCCCAGCACTAGGGTGGAGGCAGGGGCGGCCAGGACAGACTCTGGTTGTGACTCTGGTTTGTCACCGCCCGCAGTAAGTGAGGGGGTCAGAGAGCCTGATGTTTGCTCTGAGACCACCGCCACAGATTCAGGCAGCACCACCACTGCAGGATCCTCCTGAGCAGATGCTGCCTCGTCCTGACAGACAGGTATCTCCAGCGTGGGCTCACTCTTCCTGGGCCTCCCTCTCTTTTTTGTGCTGCTCTTCTCATCAGCCCTCGATCTTTTCCTCTGCCTCTCCACCCTGAAAGAGCACATTAATTGTGATCAAGCCCGACAACAGTGGACATTGATACAGCTCTGTGTGATACTTAGCAAAGCCAAATAGTACAAAGTCCCTGACCTGGATCTGGGGCGTCAATAGAAACACCAGAGCAACCTTTGGTTTCCTCTTGCTCCATATTCAATATAAACCAGAGAAGTGATAAGCAGCTAGGGTTGCTGATAATACGCTGTTCTCTGTAAAGCACAGTGTTGTGATGCAAGTTTGGCTAATAAGCCTCAATAACAATAGTAAAACTTATTTATAACGTGTCAATACACTGAAGTTCTTTTGTGGATTTATAGATTTTTTTCAAGGCGGAACTGAACAGTCCAGCTGCAAATTTAGGTCACTTCTCTAATATTGACTGTGCTTCTCTGTAAATTTACCCTAAAACCCACTGGTTAGTCTCCTTCTCTTCAGCCTCGGCCTTCCTCTTTCTGAGCAGATCCCTGTCCCGCAATCGCCGGTGGATTCCACCTTTAAAACAGAAATCCCACCAAAGAGAACATGTAAATAAATGAAGAGTAAAATCAAAGACACACCCAGAAGTATTTGTAAAGCATGGCTGGCTAAACACATGGATAATAGAAAGTTTCTCTTCCAGATACACAAAACACTTGAGTTTGAAATACAATAACAAAGACTAAATTTACACTGTGGAAATGAGTAAAAAACTAATTTGAAAAGAAGAGCAGACATTTAAAACGTTACCTTGGTCGTCATTTGGATTTTTATATTCCATCTCTTGTTTGTCCTGCTGCAACGTCTCCTCCATTCTTAGTCCCACTATGAATGAATTCAAACTCATTGAAGGCGGGCAAAGAGCAGAGAAGTCAGAATAACTTCTGACTGTTTTCTATTCCCACCCCTTAATGAATTATCTGGTTAACCATTACTGTATTGCTGGGAGAGTTCCTGCAGCTTTGGTCTTATCATATTTGTAAAGCTGGAGGAGTTGGCACAACACAGACAGAGGACGGAAAAAAAAGAAGACCGGGGCAAGTTGAGAAGGGCGGTGTGTAAAATATAAATGTATGTAGTAATCAAAGAGACACATACAAGTTTTAAAAAATGGTGTTGTTTTCATTAAAGTAAAAAAATGGATGATTAAAGGAACTTTTCTGTTTTTCATGCATTTTAATGTGCAAGCTTTAGGTCCTTTGTAAAATGTTGCTGTTGCTTTGGAAACAAGAATACTTTAACTGAATCTGACAAACAAAATGTTAGATGCTTGAAAACAGACAGAGTTAAATGAAGTTCTTGATATGATACTATCATAAAGCCCCAAGTGTTGCTTTTGAAGATAGTAAATGTGTCTTATTTCTAGTAAAGCCGTGCATTTTGCAGTACTTGTGGTAAAATACTCTGTGGAAAACGCCACAAAGCCAGAAATCCTGTCTTCAACTCCAGCGTAAGGGCAGACCCATCTTATCTCACAGATGGAGAGCCGCTCGGTTGGGGTGTGTTCTCAATCTTCTCACAGCACATTGAGCGCTGATGTGTGTGTTTGAGCGACTCACTGGAAGAAGCCATCCAGCAGGGTAAATAACACTCAGCTGCCAATTGCCTCCAGCATTGTTGGGGAAATGTGGAGTGCCCCTTGTTAAATTCACTCGCTGCTGCATCGAAGGAGCCTCACCACAATCCACACATAACTTCATGCAATGGGTAAATATAAAGTTATCTGATTCATATAGTGTATGTTTCATGGTTGCAGTGGGAAAAGTGAAAAAAAAACCTCATCTTGTAACCACACACTGCAAAGTATCACAGTCTTCTCCAGCTCTAGAGTTAGTCACATTTAAATTCAAACTACCCTGAGCTGCTCCTTCGATCAGCAGGACCCTCGATGTCTACTTCGACCTCCAGCTGAGACCACAGGCTGCACACAGTGAACTCCTCCGCTGATAAAAGTTCAGCAGACACCAGAAGGGACTCAGGCCAAGTTTTGCATATGATTGGTTATCAGAAAAAGGGCTGTCACTCTCACACACTGAATTGTTGTACAAAGAAACTGAAGTTTGAGAAATACCAAAGTAGATATCACAGTGCCATCTCCTGGTGTCCCCTCTAAACTACTAACCTCTGATATTAAACTGTGCAAATACAATATACAGTACATTTAAAATGCACAAGGCTAAATATGGAGTATTTGGATAATAAGCCGTTGATGGCTGATAAAGTGGGTGCACACCATTTTCAGCTGGATTCTCTGTGTATATCAGTCTTATCTTTACTTCATTATTGACCTCTGACATAAACTAATAACTTAAAAAAACGTCCTAAATGTCTTTGGTGATTTGTGGCTCTGAGCAGAATCAACGGCTCAGTCAGTCAACTTCTGCTTCAGGGCTCTGGTGTCTCAGGAAGTAAAGGGGGTTGTGGGGAGGAGGGGTACAGAGCCCAACCATATGCATTCACAATGCTCTCTTTACTGCAGACCAAATATACCCCTTCCAGCAGTGTGTCCATATGTCCCAACAAAAAACAACACAGCACAGCAGGTGGTGTTTTTTAAGCAGTTTATTAAAAAAACAACTTCTCAGTGTCTTCATTTCCTGAACTGATATAAAATAAGACATTTTTGATTTGGAGGGCAACAGGTTTAAAAAAAACAAAAAAAACAGAGATGATAGATTTTTTCTTTCTTCCCTTTAAATACCTAAACAGTGAATTTAGCAGCAATGACAAATAATAACGTTTTCAAACTGTGGAACTTCCAGTTGTGAGGCAGAAGAGTTCATCGTGTGACCGACTTTTTTTATTTTTTTTATTTCCGATGTCTAATTAGCTGGATGTTGTTTTTGCGTAAGATGCACACATGCCTCGGTTGGATAAAGGCGATGGGACAAAAAGGCTCCTGTCTCCACTTCGCATCGTACAGTAGTTTCCTCACAGAAACAAATTGCACCACAGCAGCTCTGTTTCGGGGCAGCGTCATGTTTTGTGACTGCAATGGCCCTGTGGAGGGCGATGGGCGGATCTGGACGCAGATGGCGCTGTTGGGCGTATATTTTGTTTCAGTCCCGTTTCCCTCCATGGTTGTCTCTCCTCTCTCCGACTAACTTGGCTTGGCTCAGTTCATTATACAGTCCTATATTCTCCCTCCATTAGGGCATCTCTGCCTTTGGACTGAAGATCCCAGCGAAACCCAGGAGAGAAAAGTTTCACTTGCACGGGGCGAGATGGAAATGAACAAGAGGATCCACTTGGAGCTAAGAAACAGGACACCGTCTGATGTGAGTCGTGCTTTTTTTTAAAGAAACCAGCCCTTAGTTTTCTGGCTAGCCTCTCGCTAGCTAGCTTGCTACTTTTTTCTGCTTTGCGAGTGACCTGTGTGGCTAACGCAACGGTGACCACATGGGCTTCACGGTGGTGTTTCTCCCCCGTGATGGGCCGGAAAACAGTCGCACAACAAGCTTAACCCTCCACACTGGTTCGGATTGGGCGTAGAGGAGAAAAGCGAGATTCAATCGTTACTTTGAAGCGGCGATCCCCCCTCAGCTCGCTGGTATTATCGCAGTGCTTTAACCCTCCTCGCTCCGGGCTGCACACACACACAATTCAGCCCCACGGTCGGAGCACAATCTGTAAACTTCTTTCTTTCTTTTTTTTTTACGCTGCTTATGTTAGCACATTTGCATCCTGCGCCGTGTTTGGCATTCACAGAGCGGTAGGTTTTACACAGACCCGTGGAAGCCATGTTTGCTGCTAGCATATCTGCTCAGACGGGGGCTGCTTTTCTTTTATTTCAAAATGCACTTTACAACTTCGAGGCGTTTGTGCGAGGGCAGCTGCTTTTGTGGCGTGTCCACTGGGGTCGTCGCCGATCACGGGTCGTGTCGTGAAATTTCCACGGAGCACGTTGATATCAAACGGCCACAATCAGCAGCGACAACAAAAAAAAAAAAAAAAAAACACAGTCACTTGCTTCACGAGTCATCCATACCTTCACCACTTCTTCCAACCAAAGCCCGTTCACAATTCCGCGCAAACAAGAGCAGGCGGCCAAGTCTTCACGTAATAGCGATTTGTTTTAAAAGCCACGTTTAAGCTGTTGCTTGGGGTTTAAAAGGGGAGTGTGCGGCGGCAAATCCCCGAAAATAGCCTCCACGCTCCCGCAGCAGCCACGTTTACGGTTCGTACCCGCGCGTTTACGCCGGTGTTAAAATCACACACTTTTTAAATGAAGTCTGGCGGAGCGGGGATCATTCAGACACCAGCCTCCCAACTTCGTGTTTTTGTTCCCGCCATATTAGCCCCCGTCGCTAAACGGGGTCGTACACAACAAAATGTGCCGCGTGAAACACCGAAAACCCCGAAAACAACCATCCACCCTCTGAATAAACGTGATTAAACCTCGACTTGATGTCGCTTGTCGCTTAAAAACAGCTCGATTGGTCGCCCGGCGGCCTGTGACCGGAGCAGCGTGCCTGAATGACACCGAGATCCGGTGCACCGCGCTTCATGCGTGGGCAGGGGGAAAACTCGACGGTCGGTGTTTCCCCCTGGACCCGTGCGCGAAATAAAACGATTTCCACACGGGAGATATTCATTCAGCACAGTGCAAGACACGACCATTACACTTTCTAAACATCACTTTTCGCCATGGAAGGTGTTCAGAGATCTGCATACTGTGTCTCGGGGATCGCCATGTTGTCATTCTGTCGTCTTTGAAGCTCTGGGAGAAAGGAACCGTCTCCATCTTTGTTTTTTTTTTCACTAAAATTTCCGCTCTCGACACATTTCCTTCGACCTGAAATCGACGTAGTTACCCCGAAACAAACTGGCGATATCGGCCATTCGCTCGACGACAAAGAGGATATTCCACTTCCCCCATGAAAAGCTGGTCTAACGGAGAAAAACAAGCGCTTCACTAAAGGGTGTATTCGCACTCCTTTCCGCTGCTGCTGGCTAATGGCGGCGGGCACACGGAGCCGTGGAGCTGCTCCTCTGCCGCACGGCAGCGTTTAAAAGGGGGCAATGGCTAGCCTGTAGCGAGCTAGCTCACAAAAATCATTGCATTTGTCATTAGTGGCTGCAGCAGCAGGTCATGAAGGAAGCTGCTGCTGCTGCTGCAGCTTTGCTCTTCCTCGTTTTCACACGAATCAACGTGTTGACTCGTCGTCCCCCGGACAGACGAAGCTCTCTGTGGGTTTTTTTACACGGACTCGTTTCCTCCATGTCGGTGTTTTACTGCTGAAATCGTGAATCTTTGACGTTTGACAGCAACTTTTTTTCGCAGCGTTGCTTTTTTTGTCCTGCAACCGAATTGCGCAACCGGTGTTAGCTTTAAGAGGAGACAGAAACTCCGCCTTCAGACTAGTTTTAATCATGTTTTACAACAAGGAGAAAATACCTTTACTCGCTTTGCACAACAACAACAACAACAACAAACCCCCATTAAAAAAAAAACCACACATTTTGCTCCTGTTGTTTGCCAACTTGTTTCCTGAGGTGTTTTACTTTGCAAACACTTTGCAACACACTGGGTGGATTAGATATTGTTGGATTATTATGAATTTGGAGTGTTTTGAGGGAAAATGCAATCATCAAATAACAGTTTTATAAACTGCATATAAGAAGGGATATTACATTTTTAATGTGACGTTATACTTTATTCTATCATTCTGTATTCCAGGTACGAGAACTCGTCCTTGACAATTGTCGATCACCTGAAGGAAAAATCGAGGGCCTCACATCAGAGTTTGTCAACCTGGAGTTCCTCAGTTTGATAAATGTGGGCTTAATGTCAGTGTCCAACCTGCCTAAACTAGGAAAACTCAAAAAGGTAAAAAAAATATATGAATATATTTCACACCATGCAAAAGTTGAATTTAAAAAAAAAAAGCGTTGTCTACAATAATCTCTCACTGTGATCTTTCCCTCAGCTGGAGTTGAGCGACAACAGAATCAGCGGTGGCCTTGATGTTTTAGCAGAGAAACTTCCCAACCTCACACATCTAAACCTGAGCGGCAACAAATTGAAAGACATCAGCACATTGGAACCATTGGTATGCTCTCCTGTCTCCTTTGCTGTCATTTAGGGGAAACACTCGCCACGCGCAGGCCCCCCGAA